TTAATTGAGCTTGTCGGTCAGCCAATTTGACAATGCTCAAATTACATTCAACTGATATATTGACAAGTAAATTGTTCTACCCCTAAACACAACGTGTTTGAATTATGAAAAATGGTACAAATAAAAATGCAGATTTTATTTTTGAACTTGGTAACTTATGTTATTCTGATACGTGAGATTTTGAACATTCCTCACAATTTTACTACATCTGTATCTTTGTGTAACGAGTTATTAGATTTACCCAATGTCATGGGCTATAATAAAATACACCATTGCATTTGAGTAATCTGGTTATCCAATAGTCTGAATTTTTTTATTTAAAATGCTAAAAAACATAAACGATTTAAAGAAATTGGATAAAATAATTAGCATTTTTCTTGACAATGAATTTGATAATACAAAATGTGTAGAAAAATTAAAATTGGATTTGTTTATATATGTGGTGGTGTTTTTTTCTATACTAGTTGTGATGTTACGGTACAAGCCGAAATGAAATGATCAAGCCTAACTAGAAAATTTTAGATTAATGTTGAGATTGATATTTATAAAGGTAAAATAGCCAGTCAACCATATAGACATTTTTGTCGTGACATAGGTGCTAACGCTTACAAATCGCATTTGATTCACCTATAAGATGAAATTAAACTCATTTAATGTTTGAACGCTTATTTTAGCAGAAAGAAACATTCCAAATATTTTATGACCAAATAGAAGAGAAAATGATCTTGCCGATTGCGATTAGGCTGCAGCCGGATTTTCGATACATTAGAAGAATTTAAAAATGTAATCAAACATGTTTAATGCTTTATGTACTTATAAAATGGCATATAAGTTAAAAGAATATGATGTCAATAATCCTTGGAAACTAAGGGGGTGCTTAGTTCATATAATGGAATTTGATGGAATTGGAATCCATCAAAGGAATTTGACTTTGAAGTAATTGCAATGGAATTTGACCATGCGTTTGGTTGGTAGGAATTGGAATGAAATCTCTCAATAGAATTGGAACAATCGTTTTTGTTTGGACCATCACACCCATCGCCCTACTGATACATACCAAGTATTTAGTACGTAAAGTACCTCTTTAGTCTCTTTTAGATAGGTTATTTTCCATTTATATCCCAACTTTGAGTCATTTTATCTATTTTCTCTATTTTTATGCTGAAGTAAATGATGAACCTGTTTTTAGTGGATTTTGGTCTAAATTGAGCTTATTTTGGACAGATTGGAGCAGGTCGATGTTGTGGGAATGTGGTAGCATGACCTGATGGTAGAAGAAGAGATGGATGAGACTTGGAGTTGACCGATAAGACCATGGGATGACTAATGAAAGCCTTCTAAAGTGGAACAGYTGTGTTATGATCAGATTAGCTGGAGCTTATTAAGACTAATTTAGTTGCTTTTTAACTATTAGTTTACTTTATTGTACCATTAGTTTGCTTTAGTGTACTTTCTAGTTTCTTTAGAACTAAATAGGTGTGAAATGTTTATTTTGCCCTCACTCCAACACTAGTATAAAAAGGGATGTTGGGAGGAGTTTTCAAAACACATCACTACCACTCCTTCCACACTTCACTCCATATTCTTTCTTGTTTCTCTCAAGTAGGTTGACATCCTACTTGAAGAACAAATTTCCTAATATTAAGAAATCTTTTGGCATTTCGAGTTTCTTTAATCGCTTTATTTAATCGCTTTCTTTATATTACCGTTATTTATATTCCGTCTTTTATTTATTTACGCTTACTTGCATTTTATTTCCGTCATTTATTTATTACGCTTTCCGCATCTTTATTATTCCGTCATTTACTTTCCGCATTTATTTTATGTCTTTACTTATCGCAATTTATGTTTCTTGTCATTTACTTTTCGCCATGAGTAGCTAATTTTATTAGCTCGGGTGTATGACGAAAAAGGTGAGTTTTTAAACCAAAATATAGTYGACCCTTTCATGTAACAACGATGTTTTACTTTTTCATTTCAAGTTTTATAAAACCAATGACCCTTCTTGACGAGTTGATCACTTTGAAAGTGTTAAAGTGCCGTGGACTCTAAGCTGAGCCATTGTTTGCACGTCAACTAGGATGATATGAGAAGTAGACTTGAGAGAGTTGCTAACAAAGAGATTTGTTGTCCGTATTTTCTAAGTTGTTAATTCTCGACGGGTTGATCACTCTGAAGTGGAATGGATTCAGAGATGAGCCATTCAGAACACGTCAACTTGAATGATATGGGAATCCACTCGAGAGAGTGATTTTTAACAAAGAGATTTGTTTATTCATATACTTTGAAGACACCATTTGTCACTTTCACTGGTCTGGATACCTCATAGAGATATGGGTTGAAAGCTATAATATCAGTGCATTGGTGAAGTCCGAGAGGAATACTTTTAAAGTAATTGGTAAAAATAGTTGTTACTGATTGACTGCTGTAGCAATCTGTCAGCATGGTTTCATGCTGTAGCATTTTGACAGCATTGGTCGACTGAAAATTGTATTTACATCTCACCCGAAAAGTCATACACCCTAGCTTGCTTTTATTATTCTGTTATCTCCTGTTTTTAGTTGTGTTAACTCTGTTCTAATCAAAGTCTTCGAATTCGCCTTCTGAAATCATTTCTTTAACTTTACTTTCTTTTAAACTTTTACTACGATCCCTGTGAACGATATCCGGTACTTGTACCACTTTTATTACTTGAAAGATGATATTGAGACTATTTGTATACTTGCTTTTGGTCCTGATTGTAGTTTGTGGGTTTCCACCGATCAAGTTTTTGGCGCCGCTGCCGGGGATTAGTTAGTTAAAAGTTTTCTTTTAAGTAAAGTAAAAAGATTTGATTTTTCTTGTCCCGTTTTTAAAAATCGTTTTTAAAATTGGTGTATGTCACAGAGACATCGCGGGGAAATTTTTGAATTGGATCCCGATATTGAGAGAACGTTTCGCCAAAGAAGGAGGGCTCAAAGAGCATTTTTTGCTCTACTCTCTCTCAACATGGAGTTACCTCCCCCAATCATCCCTGAGATTCCACATTTAGAAATCAACCGCCTGCCTTTGGGACAATACCACCTTTTCCGAATTTTCAGCAAGAACACCACCATCATAATAATCATAATGAGGACACAAAGTCGGAAAATAATGAACAACCAAGAGAGCAAACTCCAAAGATTATTAATTTGGAAAATTCCAAAAATGGACGGATCATGGACTATGCCATTCCGGATTTTGAGCAATTAAATTCCGGGATAGTTAGGCCGCATATGACCGCTCTTCATTTTGAACTAAAACTGATTATGTTTCACATGTTGCAAACAAACGGACAATTTGCCGGATTACCTTCAGAGGACCCACACTCACATTTGAAATCCTTTATGGAAATCACTGATGCTTTCCTGATCCTAGGAGTGTCTAATGACGCTCTGAGACTCACTTTATTCCCATTTTCTCTGAGGGATCGGACAAAGGCATGGTTCAATTCATTAACTTCAGGTTCTCTGCCTTCATGGAGTAATATGACGGAAAAGTTTTTGCGAAAATATTTCCCACCAACCAGGAATGCTAAGTCTAGGAATGAAATTTGCCTTTTTAAACAAATGGACGATGAAGCTGTTCTTAACGCTTGGGAAAGGTTTAAAGAGTTGTTAAGGAGATGCTCTCACCATGGCATCCTGTACTGTATTCAACTCGAGACGTTTTACAATGGCTTAAATCCCATGGCAAAACAAATGCTCGATGCGACTGCGGGCGGAGCCTTTACAGCTCTGACCTACAATGAAGGATATGAGATCCTAGAGAAAATTTCTGCTAATAATGGACATTAGGCTGATCCACGTGCTCAACCGCAAAAGAAGACAACATGAATACATGATGTTGATGCATATACTGCATTAACAACACAACTCTCTTCCATGGCCAATATGCTTAAAAATCTAACTTCTGGCCAAGGAGTGCAGTCAGCTGTCACATCACCTATTCTAGCTGCCCTCTCAGTGCAATGTGTCTGTTGGGGAGGGGAACACTCTTATGAACTGTGTCCACATAATGCTGAATCTGTGAATTATGCTCATAATAGATCGAATCCCTACACTAACACATACAATGCCAGTTGGAGACATCATCCAAATTTTTCATGGAATAGTCCAAGTTTGAATCCTCCAGTTCCTAAGCAACAAGGAAACCCTAATTTTCAACAACAACAACATGCAAGCAGTTCTAATTCTCAAAATCACCATCATCAGAATTTTCAAAGTAATCAACCACCTTTTCAAAACAAGCCACCTCCACAGACTGATTTATCATCTTCTTTGGAAGAAATGATAAAAGGGTTATTTGCGCAAGCTGAATCTCAAAATCAAGCTTTGATAACCCAACATAACTCTCAAAATTAATCTTTGTTCAATCAACAAAGTGCTGCCATCAGAAACCTGGAAACGCAAGTCAGTCAACTTGCTCTCAATCAGAACAATAGAGCCCTTGGTATTTTACCTAGTAACACAGAAGTTCCAAGAGCCTTAGGAAAGGAACATGTGAAAGCAGTGACTCTTAGGAGTGAGAAGGAATTAACAGAGACCATACCAAAAGAAAATGAACATGTTGTGTCTAAACCTGAGACTATACCCATGGTCCCTGTTACTGAAAGTCCACCAAAACCTCTGGATGACCAACTATCTGAGACCACCACTTTTGTTCCTCCTAAGTCGGAGTATCCTTTGTTATTCCCAGAAGAAGTTGCTAGGAAAAATCCAATTGAGGATGAGGTTATAACAGGTCCAAAAACCAAGGTTGTAATCCCATTTGAACCTCAAGAAAGTAAGACCAAGACTCTAGGCACTCTGGACCCATCTTGTTCAACACAACCAAACAAAGCCATTAGAAAGCCAGTTCCTCTTTATGTTCCTTTTCCCCAAAGGTTAAGGAATCAAAAGGAATAACTGCAATTTAAGAAGTTTTTGGAAGTGTTTAAAGCATTGCACATCAACATACCTCTTGTTGAAGCAATTGAGCAAATGCCTAGTTATGCCAAGTTCCTTAAAGACATTTTGAGTAAGAAGAAGAAGTTGACCGAATATGAGATCGTAGCTCTTACCGAAGGATGTAGTGCGCTTCTAACCAACAAAATACCTCTTAAGCTTAAAGACCCAGGAAGTTTCACTATTCCTTGTTCTATAGGTGGAAAGGAGATTGGTAAAGCATTGTGTGATTTAGGTGCTAGTATCAACCTTATGCACTTGTCTGTTTTCAACACCTTAGGCATAGGAGAAGCTAGACCCACCACTGTCACCTTGCAATTGGCCAATAGAAGCATTGCTTATCCAAAAGGTAAGATTGAGGATGTCTTAGTTTAGGTTGACAAATTCATCTTTCCGGCTGACTTCATCATCCTAGATTTTGAGGCTGATAAGGATATTCCCATAATCTTAGGAAGACCTTTCTTAGCCACTGGTGGAACTTTGATTGATGTCCAAAAAGGAGAGCTGACCATGAGACTTCAAGACCAGAAAGTCACATTCAATGTCTTCAATTCCTTAAAGTACCCTGATTACTTAGAGGAATGCTCAAGAGTTACTGAGATAGAGACAATGTGTTATGAGGAAGGAGTTAGGAAGGCCTATAAGCTAAAGGAGGAGGATAGTGCTGAGAAAGGTGATGAGACTACTGAGGATTTAGAAGGTGATGTCCCATCTGATGCTGCAGCATTTGAGTTGCTGGACAATGGTGAGCTTAAGAATTTTACCCCGTGCATAATTTCACCACCTGACCTGGAGTTAAAGGAACTCCCATCTCATTTGAAGTATGTTTTTCTAGGAGAAGAAGGTACGTTACTTGTCATCATATAATCTACCCTAGAATTACATCAAGAAAAGAAATTGGTGGATATGTTGAAGTTGCACATAAAAGCTATGGGATTGACCGTTGACGACCAAAAGGGATTAGTCCTTATTTTTGTCAACATAAAATCGTCCATGACAATAATTTCACATCCATAGAGCCACAAAGAAAGGTGTCTACTTTTGACAAATCCATAAATAAATTGTTCGGTCTCTCACCTCACATAGATTTTGAAAATAATGCACTCTTGCACACGACCTCTGAGGCATATTTGGTTGAGAACATGGCTTTCCTTGGAATGCCTGAGACTGATTGGGAGCCTTACACTCATTTCATGTTGAAAACCTTTAAGGCTGCCAATTTGTCTCCTGATGAGAATGTTTGGATAAGCTTTATTAGACATTATTTATCATCGACTACTTCTGACAGCTCCACTTATGAGGAAAGTGTTGGTCTCGTAAGGGTCTACAAAAATAGAAACAGTTTGTAGAAGGGGGGATGAATACAAACACAGTATTTTCAAATTTAAAATATATATTGATAGAGAAGATCAATACAGATTTTACATGACTGTTTGCGGAAAGATAAGGTAAAGAAAATCTATCTAAACAATCTTTGGATACACACAGATCTTTAGCAAATACAAGAAAAGAGATTGCTAAAGGGAAGATCCTTTACTTAAGCTAGAAGATGCTTGAAGTAAGAATATGATAGCAGAGAGATGCGCGCACTCTGCATGGAGAAGAAACACTTCTATTTATACCCAGTGCATTAAATGAACATTTAATGTAATATGGTAGGTTTAGAGTGCGTGTCAAGCCTTAAGAGGAAGGCTTGTCCTTCGCTACAGTGAATAGTACAAAAACATTGTTTTTGAGCAGACATCCTTGCCTAAAGTTGGTGGACAAAGAGTCGAATAATCGGCTTCGTACCGTACTAACTTTTGCAAGGGTATGGGTTTGTCTTTTATGTGAATAAGGACAAGACAACAACAATCGTGCTAAGCAAGCTTCCTTTGATCGCTGAATGCTGGAATGACCTGGAGGTCTCATCA